GAAATCTCATATATTTGTCGAGACTCCTCCATCCATGAGTTAGGTAAAGACATGACTCCTGTTACGTGTTGTTCATCTGGCATGTCTCTTGTTTGCTTTCTCTTATCATGTGTACAAGTGTCTTCATTCACCAAGCAAGTCATATGTGATGCACTGGAGTCTGGTGATGTATTCTCTCGAATCCAACTGAATAAAAGGCTCCGTCGGCTTGCATTGATGTCTTGATCCGTTGGCATCAACTTGCATTTTGAACTAAAAATATTGTATCGATCCGATCCCTTTCTTGAAAAGTCTATTCCGCTCTCCAATAGCCGATTCCTTTCTTGAAAAGTCGATTCCGCTCTCCAATAGCCGATTTCTGTATCTTCATAGCATTCATTGAGACTTACCGTTTGTCTGCAAGGCAATATGTCTATCGGCTACTCATCTGTTGTACGATCGTCGGTCTACTTTGTCAACAAATCCAACTCATTGGAATCAGATTTGCACACGTAGCATGTATCCTGCATGTCTCCAGCAGATGCATTAACTCCTTAGGATTAGTAGAAGCACTGACACACCTTGGATTACAGTCTGTTCGTTTGGCTGTGGCTTGTCGTAAACGATCGTAAATTTTCAGCCGAAACAGTATTTTTCTCTCACACAAACCAGCCAGCAGTATTTCTTCACGAACCAACAACGATACGAACCAGCCAACCGAACAAGCTGTTACTTGATGGAACTTCATACTGTAACCGCATTGAATGCTCCTTCTTGAAACATGACGATCTACACGGTGGAGTAATGACACGTACTAGTAGACACGAAGCCTACAATGGTATGCCCTGTTCATTCTGTAGTTTCTTCCATACGTGATTTCTAGCAGCATGCGTCCAAGTACAGTTAAGCACTTTTCAATGCTCGGAATTCATATCTCTGACTTCTGATCAGACGATTGTGGCCCTACCAGACGTGCCAAAACGTGTGTCAGCGTAAAAATGTGGCGATGCGCCTGACACACTGTAAGCCGGAACAATCTGGGCGGAGTCAACCCGGAGATCTGCTTGGCTTCAACACAGGACCGGTCAATCCTGAAAGTCCCACTGGGCATGCCAAAACATGTGTCGGCGCAAAAATATGGCGATGTGCCTGACACACTGCAAGCCGGACGATCTGAGCGGAGTCAAACTGGAGATCTGCTTGGTTTCAACATAGGACCAGTCGATCCTGAAAATCCCGAAAGCATGCCAGTCAATTTGACCTGCAATTGACAAGGAGAGAAAGTTTTATCAGTAGTTTAGGGTGGAACATGTCGGTGTTGTCCAGACAGTTCCAAGTATGCTGGTTCGAGAGCAGCCAAACAGGGAAATCGACTAGATAGCCAATACGAAGAGAAATCAACTGTTAAGGACTGTGATACTCGTGGGTCATGATTGATTTATGATAATAAGTACATGCATCCAGATATAAGTAACATCATCAACTAGATGAATATAACTAGTGTAAAGCATTGAGCCGATAAGTTTAACGAGAAAATATATAACATGCGAATAAATCGACTGTCTAGTATAAATGAATCTACAAACACTCTGAATCTAATTTGTTACCATCAACAGTGAGGTTTGACCAGATCGATACAGCTATGATAATAATAACAAACTAAAGCCAAAGAGTTCATAAAACAATCTATATATTGACAGGTTCATGAAAACATGCTATATGTGTGAAGGCACAGGCGAATCGGCTAAAATAGCCGATGCATGCATAGCAAACAAACATAGTATATATCTCAATCATGAACAAAGCCACTAATCGATAATCTCTAATCCGAAGTCTTACCAGTGAGGTTCGATCGGGTCGATGTAGCTATGGTGGTGTTATTAGATTAGATCTCATTAACTAGTGAGTTTATTTAAGATTAAAACATGTCTTCGAATGCTTACTATGTTTGATTGGAATAGAGATAAAACAGTCGTTCTAACAGAATTAAGCATCAATTATGAGATTCATAGTATGACCAGACTAGAAGACGACCAATTATGATGATATGATGCCGATCTATCTCTATCTCAATCAGATGATTTGTTATGATTAATAGAACATTAATAATAACAAGATCGATAACGGGTGAATCAACCAAAAACAGCAAGAAAAAATTTACTAATCTTAGCAGATTCGATAACTGGTGATATTGTATTAAACAACAAGTTATTTAACACAAGATCGATAATTTTGATCTATATTATGATTCGTAAGAGATTAATCAGCTGATGCAGCCTTACAAATAGTGATACAGATCGATAACTAACCTGTATTATACTCGTAAAAGATCAATCGGCTGATGCGGCTTTACAAGTATGATACAAGTCGTGACGGTACTCATAGACAAGCCGGAGGTCGATCAGTCGATGCAGCCCTGTTTATTGAAGAACTCGTCGAGATCTATAGTACTCCTACTCCTAAGGGTTGACGTGAAGCCAAAAAAGTAATTGTATGATTGATTGAGAGATGATCTGGTACAATAGCCGGGGTTTTATATTTATACTCTGGGCTGATAAGAGTCCTAAACGAACACGACTAGATAACAAAAAGAAATATCAAGATACATTGATTCTAATTTTCCTTATGCAGAATCCTTATTGATGAAGCTTCCTTGTTTAATACGTGTCCTTGTTTCTTTCATCGTGATATGCACCTGGACGTCGTGTTTCTCCAAATAAAATAATATTTCCTGGCCGGCTCATACATATCCCTTAATTAGGAGACTTTCTTATTTTTGACATCATCGACCGATCTCTTCCTTTTCAGGATAAGCTTACCAAATTTTGGTGTAAACACCTCTGAAAATCAATATGATATATTTGGTGTTACTGGCTATACTTTCCCCGTTATGCTAGAAATATAGACTTATGATGTCTTACTATTTATTAAAATTCTCGAAGAATCCATAATCAATCCCAGAAGGAGTCACTGACTATTATGAATCGTGAAAATTATAATGGTATAAAGAATAATGATTATTAATCACATCTCGAAGATGTGTGTCATTGCAACTTTAAAGTGCACAAATATGCATCATGATGCATGCGTGCTAGAATATAATAAATTCCTCTGCATTATTCTCTACCTCAATGTTCTTGAAGAATAGCGAAACGAATGTCATGAAGACTAAATATCGTGGAAATCTTGTAATCTCACTTGCACTATAATGGTTAATGTCATGGGATGTTGAAGTCAGGGGAGTATTTACAAAATATTGATCATCACTCATGAGACTTTGAAAGTCTCAAACAATACCTAGAAGGTGTTATTGTTTATTTACACTTCATATTTGTATCTCACGAGTTCCAGAAGTAAGATGAGGTTAAGATTATGAAATGATCCTTGCAACGTATGCGATACACTTGTTAAGTCTCTATGTGCATATGCTTCCTGTAGAAAGCGTTCTTAGCATAGCGAGACAGTTTTGCAAGGTTCAGGGAGAGAACTTCCCTAGAATATTAACCCTTGATCAGAATTCTAGAGAATTCAAAATGATATGATCTAGAAGGTCACAATTTGTCCTAAAGACATATGTTGTACTCTTTTTTTCTTAATGAGTTTTCCTTTAGTTTTTCATGTAAGGTTTTTAATGAGGCAATATTGTGCAAATGCATTAAGTGACAATAATGTACTCTTTCTCTATATTTTTCCCATTGGTTTTTTTGGAGTTTTAATGAGGCATCTACTTGTCATATTATTCGCCTAAGGGTGAGTGTTAAGAATTCCTCAATTAGACGATTGACGGGTTCATACCATATATGCCTTGAAGGCTACCATATATGTCAATACCATATATGTCGAGGCTTCCATATATGCCCTGAAAGCTACATCTATATAAAAGGATTACATGTGTACCTATAATGACTAATGAAGAGATAACTCCCCTCATATACGTGTCTCCTGTGTGTTCTTATGTCTTGTTCTTAGGATTGGGCAAGGGAGACGGAGACATGATCTATCTATTTCTACACGGCTCTTTCTTGGGACAGGAACGGAAAAACGGATCTAGCAATCCGTGGATAGGCCGATTCTCAACAAGATGGAGGCTATTTATTGTTTTTTTGTAAAAAAACTGAATAACAATACCGTGAGAACCTTCAGATTCCATTGGTCAGGACGTGATCATGTGAATTTTGCATAGTTGGCATGTAGAAGAATTTTGCTCTTCTGCCGCACGAGAATTAACGGACAATGTACTCATGAGAGAGAAGTTTTGAAACCAAGAGCAAATCAAAGATTCAATTAATAAACCAAGTTCGTAGCCCATGTAAATCCCTCGACCACCATCCTCTGGCCCCCTTCACAACTAGTGCCACCGTCCTGAAAAGAATGTGACTTTAGTACAAAAGTTTCAGAAAAAGTATAAATATTTATGATCCAAAATAGGTATACTCCACGATGAATCAGAGTGACACTTATTTGGTATCATTAGTATGCTAAAATTGCATATATATTTTTAGACCTCCCTGGTTCATTTCGAAACACAGCCTACACGAGCATCAATCAGCTCTGCTTCCTTCTTGCTGTAATGACTGATTTGTTCATCAGGTCAGGCCCGAGCCCTGAGAAGACGATACTCTACTCAATCCAACGCAGCCTAAAATGTGGAGCAGTAATAGTAAAAGAAAGAGAATCATATACTTATATAAATCCATTGTGTTGTTTGTTCTGCAGACGGAAATGACACTTGGCATTCCCAACTTCTTAAGATACATCATCTCAAACTGGAACGATATATGTACAGCACTTGGTACCTTCATCAATGGAATCCACCAGGGAAACACTTGGCATTCCCAACTTCTTAAGATACATCATCTCAAACTGGTGCTAAACCAAAGGTTATGAACAGACCATGCCCTACATTCCAACAAAATGAGACAAAATTCTCTCTTCATCTCCACAGGCACCCCAGCTCTTGCACATCTTAGATTAGATGCTTACCAAAATTCTGGGCTCTCCCAAACCATCCATCGCCTTGGTTAGCCACTTCCTCTCTGATCTGCAGCGCCATGGCTTCGATTCCTGGTCCTAGTCCGTGGTGGTGTCCCTGGAGCCACCAAGCGCGAATTGGCATGTGCTTCCGGATCGTAGGTCTGGGAGGCAAGGTAAGTGAGGGCTGTAACCACATCCCCGATCAGCGGCCTCATGCTCGGTTGCTCTTGGACACACATTGCTGCGACAGCAAGGGCCTGGTACAATCCCCTTGGAGGATAATGCCCCTCTAGTGCAGGGTCTGCCATCAGGGGAAATTTCCTCCTGTCTTTGAACAATGGCCGGGCCTGAAATGAAGCAAATACATGGAGAGATTTTAGACTTTTTCAGAGCAAGCAAGAGCTTATTTAGCGGAAAACCACATGGCGCCCAGGGGGGCTGACGCCCTCGTTCTAAAATACCATGTTGCAATGTTTCAAAAATCATGTATGTAGTACACCTAAAGTTAAGTGTAGCCGCAACAATTTAGTTTGACATTCATCTTTCATGCTGAGATTAAAAAAAAAACAGAAGTATCACTTTGAGCACATAATGAGCAGTGCCAGGCTGACTGCTTATCCATTTTGTTTCTTGGCATCTAGGATGAATTTTAAACTGTATTGTTGCGGCTATGCTTAACTTTGTGTTTACTACATACATGATTTTTGTGGTGATTTTTGAAACATTGCAACATGGTATTTTAGCTAACGAGGGCGCCAGCCCCCATGGGCATCAAATCTGCACTCTTATTTAGAAGAGTGATTGGCATGTCATAATCTATTATTCAACAGCATATTTACAGTAATGCCACCTAAACAACCAAATCAACCATGACAGGATAATTACAGAAAGCAAGCAAAATTAATGTGGCGTTGGCGTGCTGCCGATAAAGCTCGACATAAACATGAAATGCTGAATCTGGAAAGAAATAAAGAGACTAAGAGAGGCACTGAAAATAACCTCCTATGCTTTCCCTTCAGGCGATATGATACCAAAGACTGAAGCGATAACACTCGTTTTACAGGACTTCCGAGCTAAGAGGCAGACATCTGGTAATTTTCCAGAATACATTAACAATCAATACTCACAACAGGCAGAAGATAGCACAATGTGCTGTTCTCCATACTGAACGTCTATACTAGAATTAGCACAGCCAAGGATGAAAACATAACAAACGATCAGCATCAGTAGCTTACCCATGCAACAAGATTTTGCTCCCCTCCAGCTCGGGTGTTGTCAATAGCCCTTTGTCCTGTAATGATCTCTAGAAGGACTACACCAAAGCTATAAATGTCTGACTTTAGGGTCAACTGTCCGGTCATAGCGTACTCAGGGGCACAATACCCATATGTCCCCATCACTCTTGTGGAAACATGAGTTTTATCACCGATTGGACCAAGCTTTGCCAATCCAAAATCAGACAACTTTGGGTGATACCCCTCTCCAATCAAGATGTTTGAACATTTCAAGTCCCGGTAAATGACAGGAGGACTGGCTTTGTCATGCAAATACTCTAGCCCTTTCGCTGCACCAGCAGCTATCTTCATCCTTGTATTCCAGTCAAGCCGTGCCTTATCTGGGGAAGGATCTGAGTAAAAATAAGCCGTGACTCGTGAGTGGAGAAATTTTAACCACATAAATTTGAAAGGGAAGTGTTGAGAAAAAAAAATCGAAATGAAAGTATAGTAGTTCAGGATTTGAACAGCTTACCATGAAGGTGATCCTCAAGAGAACCTAGAGGCATATACTCATAAACCAAAAGCCTCTGATCCCCATCAGCACAGTAGCCAATAAGGCTGACAAGATTTGGGTGATGCAGCAAGCTCAACATCAGAACTTCAACAAGAAACTCCCTGTTGCCTTGTAATCCGTTACGGTCAAGCTGCTTTATAGCAACAACCTATCATGGAACGAATGGCATGCCATGTCAATGCATTTTCCCTTAGAAAGGTTTAGATTTTCCAGCTACAATATGACATGGTATTGCTGAAGTGTTGGATGAGCATTAATATTCAATAGTTTTATATAGAGAGAGAATACGCATCCAAAGAATGTTCGTTGATAGCAATCTAGGCCTAGCACTATATTCATGATTTCATCTTATTAGGGAATGGTAGTGTTAAAGAAAGCTTCCTATCATCAGTCACAAGTTGGACTAGGAATATATAAAACAGGCAGGAAAGCAAGAAAACCTGGCTGACACTGTCCAGATAGCCTCTGTACACCCGTCCAAAGCCACCCTCACCAAGAAGGCAATCAGCTCTGAAGTTGCTCGTGGCTGCTGCGAGGTCCCTGAAAGTGAAGGTTTGCGCAGCGATTTGGTGGTGGCCAGATCCATTGCTCAGGACAATGCCCTTGTTTGCAGACTCCTTGTTGAAATCGAACGAATCCTGCATCGTCACACTAGACGACGGACCATGTTTGGGTTTCTCTGCATCAACAACTGGAAGAAGAATACACGGCTGAGCGAAAGGAAGATTATGAAAGTGATGTAGCCAAGAAAAGGGAAGAGTATGTATCTCAAGACGACCGAATTGCGAAAGAAGAGGGCCCAAAAAGTTTGGGGAGAAGAACCCCGATGATACGAAACAAGTGAATTCCAGTCAAGCAAGGTTGGGAAGGATGGCCTCACCTGAGGCGGGGCGGATCTGGGGCTTCTCCGGCGGCTGCTTCTCCTTCTTCTTGGCCCCTCCGAGGCAGGGGAAGCAGCAGTCCATGGCTGGCTCCCGTTGCCTGACCTGCTTCCCGAAGAGGGGAGGGGCTCTAGTCTCCGCTTCCGAGTAGCGTGACCGCGTGGGGGATAGAAGAGAGTAGAAGGAAGGCTGCGTCGGGCGGGCGGGGCGGGCGGGCCTCCGATGGGAGAGTGAGAGCCTGAGAGGGGGGACGGGGGAGGGGAAAGGCCGAAACGGAGGCGGAGGGAGGCAAAGGCAACAGTCCAACTCCTGGCTGTTGTCTAGGACTAGGAGTAACTGCTGTATGTGTATGTGCTGTCATGTTTAGGCTTCGTTTGTGAGCAAACGGTGGCAGGCATGCTCGCAAGCTGGACCAACGAAACTTTGTTGATTCCCTTTCTACCAACAACTCGAGCAGGCTGTTTATGGCATGCTAGGATCGTTTGCCAAGCACTGTGTAGGGTTAGAAGCTTGTTTGAATGTCTAGCCAACCTACTTTAATTCTTGTTATAAAAAAAACTTACTTTAATTCTTATGCTTAAGTTTTTTTTCTTGCTCTTGCAAGAGAGTTAAATTGGTTGTTCTGGCTTAGCCAACGTCTTGTTATCCACACCTATAAAAACAGGTCAGGTTACGTAACATTTAACAAAAACTAAACATGTTTTTACTTTCCTCCTTGATCTCTCATCCTACCTACTTTCATGTTTGTTTTGGTTATCTCCCTTCTTTATCATAGTGCTCGTACGCTCCCCCTCTAGTCTTTGTGTTGCATTCATCACCCTTGACCTCAAATTTTGGTGTTGGTCGCCACCTCCCAAATTCTGGTGAGCCTCCCCCCTTTTCTCGACGCATTGAGAAGGCTTGGTGGAACCCTAGGTCAACCTATTGGAAATCAAATCTGCCCTTTGGAGGTTTCCCTCGCCGACTTGCGTGTCTTCCCTAGCATCTGACCTCTGGTGTGGTTGACTTTGCCCTGACTTGCATGTCCTTCCCGGCTCAGTCCGCCCAAGGTCAACTTTCCTATAACACTCTCGATGTTACACCCTAAATCATTTACTAAGACGCTTCATGAGCATTATATTTATGTGTTAGTGCATGTGATGGAGTGCATAGATGAAGCATTGCAATTAAAACGATCAATAAAAGTGTTAAACAAAAAGTTACTCCATAACTCATACGGTTAACAAGTAGTGTTTAAAACTAATTCTTATTGAACAAAAATGCTATAGAACACACATGTGACACTTAAATAAAGTTTGAAATATGAACTTTGTAGATGACAGTGAAATACTTGCTGTAGAAAAATAGCATTGCTAGCCAATATTTCTAATAGCCTAGAAATACAACTTGGGATCAAGTTCAGCTCAAAAGACTTAGAATATTTTCAAGTATGTTGACAGTTAGACAATGCCATGTTTGATAATTTATTTTGCGAAATCGGGTTAAGAAAAGGTGTCATGTGTTAGCTCGGTTTGGTAGCCTAATATGCCATCTTGAACATGGTGAAGATGGTTAAGGTCTAGAAGCAACCGTTTAGTTTTATAGGCGCTTTAAAATTCGTGCACAACACGTTTTCGGGCTGGTTCGTCGCGTGGGCGCGGTCACCACGCTCGGGCACTCAGCGTCGCCACGCTGGCTGTCCCACGCGCACGCGCGCTGCCGGGCGTGGCCGGCCACGGCTGCTCTGGTCTGGCTGTGGCCTGGCCACCGCTGGCTCCTAGCACGCGGAGCCACTGCTGCTGCTTGCGCAGCCAGGCGATGCTGTCGTCGGCCCCGCCGCGCTGCCGCACTGCCAACCCGCCCCGCGCCGCGATGCAGCCGCTGCCGGTGTTGTCGCCTCGCTGTCATGTCCGTGCCTCCCTCTGCATCTCTACGCCGCTGCCGGCCTAGTACGATGTTGCCTCTGTCGCGCGCACGTGGTCAGGCTCGCTGTCGCTTTGTCATTGATGGCACTGCGGCACACGGGCCACGCCGATCGCGAACGCGCGCGCCTGTCTGCTAGCGCCTGGACATGGGTCTCCATGGTCGCACTAACCACATCCAGCCAAGACGCGCACACGCCGAGCCACTGGTCGTACCTCACCGTCTCTCTCTCTCTTTCTCCCTCCGCTGCCACCGTCGAGCCGCGCCATCAAATTACCTAGCGAGCAATCACCTCCATTCAATTCATCGCATCCATGGCTTCACCATCTCGTCCTCTCGCTGCCTGACCCCACCCAGCCTTGAAGCGAGCACGACTAAGCTCCAATTTGGAGTTTTTCCCTGCCGCCGTGCCATTAAGGCCGTGCTCGGCCATGATCGAGGGCAGCCCTCCTACCATCCCTCCCGAGCCAATTCACCTACACCACTAGCTTCGCCTTATCTCCTTCTCCACCTTGCGTACGCCAGCGGAACCGCTATCGCCTCTTCGTCGTCGCTGACATGACCGCGCCACCATGTTGCGCCGCCGCACGGCTCGACCGCATGTGGCTAGCCCTCCTCCGCCAACCTTCACCCCAACCATCACTTCGGTTAGGTCCATGGTAGTCTACCGATGCTCCCTCGCTAGCCAGTTAGGTTTTTAGGTGCTCTAGATCGCCGGGACAGCTGCGCCGCCGCCACGGACGGTCGCGCGTCGCTGCAGCTCGCTCCAGCACATCCCACCGCCCCGCGTTGCTGCTTGGTGTAGGTGGTTGGATCATAGTTGAAGGTCGGCCCGACCGACGGGCCAGCGCGAGCCTCTGGTGGTCGGCGCACCGTGTTGTGTCACCGGCCGCCACGGCGCCGTGCGCTGGGCCACCGGGGGTGTGCGTGGTGGAATTCCAGGAAAGCCAGGGGGCTAAGTGAAAATGTTTGAGAGAGGGGGGAATAGCATTAGGATTTAGTTGTAATTCGGGAGAAGTGTGATGTCTATTTTGTAAAAACACCAGCGCGCGCGGGATTTCCTCGCCGTGGGCTGTTTTGTGAGCGGGCCGGCCTCGCGTGGGCCACACCATGGGCCACCGCGCGCTTCATCGCGTGGGCCGCACGAGAGAATTCATTTTTCTTTTTCATAAGGAATTAGAAATAGTTTTCTAATTTAATTTCTGAGCTGATCTTTGGCAATTAATATAAAATCGTATAGGTGTCCAAAAATTGTAAAACAAATTTTGTTAGGTTTCTAAAATCGTGCTCTATCTGTTAGTGTATTTAGTTCATATATATACATGTTGATACCATGAGCTATTAAATCATTTGAGAGTGCTCAATATTGTAGGAATTTTTGTGGTAAATTGGTGATAGCTTTAGTCCTAAAATTTTTATGGTAACTTCATTATATTATTATGTGCTCACTATAATTTTTGTAGCCTTAGAATAGACTGAACATTAAGGTAGTTAAATGCTTTTTATTTCAATATACGTTAAATCATTAGTAGAAATAAAGATATATCCTTAATTTATAAAGCTAGGTGTTTGTTAGTAGAACCCAATACTTTGCTTGGTAAAGATGATAGTTAGCTTAGTACATTAGTCATTAGAGCTAGCTTAGTAGCTTCTGTAAGGAAAATGGACCCTACACCCATTTACTTTGGATTTTGGTGTTTGATGACCAACACAACCAAATTAGAGTAATGAATTTGCAAGTAATTATTTTGTAATTCAATAGGGTGCAAGACGTGACTTGGACGAAGGCGACATCATGATTCCATGATCAACACCATAAGCAAGACTCAAGAAGCACAAGAGAAGACCCAAGATATCAAGCAAAGTCCAAGCACGAAGATGGGAACCAAGCCGGACGCAAAATCGTGAAGAAACGAGCTCGGCAGAGGTGACCGAATGTGGCCCTATGAGGACCGGACGCGTCCGATCAGTTGCTCGGCAACAGCAGGTGTCAGGAGCTGTGACCGGACGCTGACCGATGACACTGTTCTTCATCACGGCAATGTTTTTAGCATGACCGGACGCAACGGCACTGGATGACCGGACGCACAAAGTGCAGCGTCCGATCATGTCCAGAGAGGCTCCAGAGCGGCAGAATTGCGACCGGACGTGTCCGGTTGATGATGACTGGACTCGGCAGTGCGTTCGATCTCTACACGCGTGCTCAATGGTTGGGACGATCGGACGCGTCCGGTCAGGACGACAACAGCGTCCAGTCAGTAGCAGAAAGCTAGGTTTCGTCCCCAATTGCTACTTTCTTCATGGGGCTTATAAATAGATCCCCAACCGGCCATTTGAGATACGAAGAGTTGAGGAAACATATCAAGGGTGTTGATACACTATTTTAATGATCTCCACTTGCATAGTGCTTAGTGATTCATTAGGTTATTAGCGTAGGTGCTTTGCGAAGTGCTTAGGTTGATTAGACCACCGCTTATGCGCTTGCTCTAGGTTTAGGCCTAGTGTTTAGTGAGGTTTGCATACCTCTAACCATTCGATGCTTGCGCGCACCATTGTCGTACATCAGAGGGACTTATAGTCTTGTGAGATCACACCAACCGCATTTGTGGTGTGGCCGCCACCATGTATCGAAGGGAACAAGACCTGCGGCGGTTTGGTCGGAAGCTTGATAGTGATGACGGCGGGGAGCGGTCCGGGAGAGGCTTGCCAGAAGGCACATCGGAGACCCACTTGTGCATGGGGAAGGCCCGAGGCTATCCACGGAGTTACCCGACTAGGAGCTTGGCCCTTGCGAGGGATTCCTTGTGAGGGGCTCCAATGAGGACTAAGGGGAAGCTTACGCACTTCTCGATACCTCGGTAAAAATACCAGAGTTGTCGATAGAAGTTTGCATATCTCTACCTTACTCTTTAGCTTCCGCATTTATATTGTTTGCATAACTCCTTTTGCTGTAGAGATAGTAACACACTAGCAAAACCGTAGTTGCACATTTAGATAGTTTATCTTTTGCATAGGTTTTGACTAGGTGAAATTAGAGGTCTTAGTTAGAAGTAGACTTTTAAGTTGTCTAATTCACCCCCCCTCTTAGGTGTCACGGTCCCTTACAAGTGGTATTAGAGTCAGTTGGCTCAATTTGGACCTTTGGCTTCATCGCCGTTGAGTCGACGCCATTTAGAGTGGTT